CAGGGCAGACAATGTCGTCCCCCCCCAGCGTCGTGCTGGGAAGAACTTGTCACGTGCGTCATATCGGGCAACATGCTTGAAACAGAGCAGTGCACTGAAACCCCAGCAACACGAATAATCTTTGCCATCTGTTTGAACAACTCAACCCTCCTCAGATCTAAAGGAATGATCCCATGCAAACACAAGGGCCTTGCTGACTGATTATAGCAGCCCAGCCCTTCTTTTTGGGGCCGTTTTCTCCCCAATGTCGCACAGCAGCTACGGCAACGTCGTGGGGAGCCACTGCAATGGCCAAGGGGGCACTGAAACCTGTGCAGGTTTGAGAGGGCCATTAAAAGTCCCAACTTGCTTAAAAGCAGCACAAGGTTAATAGTCCAGCTTTAAATTTATTTTTGTTTTTACATCAAGAAAACAAAATCACAACAGCAAAGTTTTTAGGCAAAACCTTCCCAGAGAACACAACTGGTGTTCGGGACACGCGCGTTCCAGCCTAGCGCAGCTCATGGGAACGTGCTGAAGGAACAGATCTTTACACAGATGCAGTTGTTTGCACCCAAAGTCCAGTTGGGAGAATCCAGACTATTCCCAAACTTCCTGGGGCCAATGAACCTTGTGAAACCCAACGGAAACCAACAGGTTGAGTTGTGCAAGCACCCGGTTGTGTCCATGTTCCCATGTCCTGCCTGTGACACACGGAGGCAATTAAGCAGCAGATATTAAACCCTCACTAAAGCTGAGGTTACAGAGAATGGCCAAACACAGGGGTGAAATCCTGCCTTGCTCAAGGTTTGGTTCAGCAATGCTCTCACCCTGAACTTTTAACCACCATTTCCTGAGTCTTCCCTTGCTCCCAGCCTGGCCCGGTGTGAGCACCATCTCACACTCCTTGGGGAAGAAAAGGAGATTCCTGAGGAAAAATAAAATATAAGGAAGTTTCTCATGATTCAGGAATTGCTGTGAAGCAGCACTTCGCACGTTGAGATCCCCAGTGCTTCTGTAGGTGAGTGGGGAGCCTCAGAAATGCTTGTTTGAAGCTATTTATCGCACGCGAGCAGCCCACGGGGCCTGATCCTGCTGACCCAAACCACCCAGGCTCGGCTGGGAGAGGGAATCAAGGCAACTTAGCAAAAGTGGGAAGATGAAATACGAGTGTTTTGAGAATTTTCTGTTCAAATAAAGAAGCAAAAGGGAGAAGAGGTCTCCTCTCTGCACTGCTAGAGGCGGAGGAGCTCGGGCTAGCCCGGCTGTCGTGCTTAGCGGCAGCATAACCACAGCGAGGGAGTTCCTAGCAGAGGGTTAGAGACTGGAAATATAAATCAGTGATGTTGAGTGGGACTGGGAATGCTCAGCCCATGGCAGGAGGAACTGGCCATTACAGCCCAGCAGGCTGAAAATAATGAAAAAGAAAAGAAGAACCCCCCCAAACACGTAACACTAATGACTTGCTCTTTTTTCTTACATTCATTAAAGAACAAGAGGCTTTGCAGTCCCTAGGACATTTCTAAATACATCATTATTGAATGAAATCAAGAAAATACTAAAAGAAATTCAACAATGACTTTTCTAGGCTTGCAAGAAGCACTTTTTCCTCCCCACCAAGCCCTACAGTAAACCCAAAAGAGACCCACAACATCTCCGTGGGCTGCTCGGACGGACAACGCGTGCACGGGCTGAGGAGCTCAACTCCTCAGTGCTGCGAAGAGGGAACTTCTTCACTGCCCAAAAATTCTAGGCTCCACTTAAAATCAGTTTCCAACAGTGGCTGGATCTGTTTCTCCCCTCTCATGGTACATATTTGCACTCGAAGAAGTGAACACGCTGTGTCCGTTACTGGGGTGGGACACACAATATGAGCAAAGAGGTTATTGCCACTAAATTTTAGTTATCTCACTAGCCACAAAACCAATTTGATTTTTCCCCTCTTTTCCCTCTGCACCACTTGGTGCTGTTTTGCCTTCCACACAAAGGAATAAACCAGGAGATTTCATTTCCCTTGACAGAAAAATGGAGCAAGGAATACGTTTGTGTTCCCTTCTCCTATTTTCTATAGATGAAAACTCCAGACAGAGACCAGTAATTAACAGAAATATGATTAATCACAAATACTCCCAAAAATAAGGATTCACCAAGCTAAATAAGAAAATTCGTGATGCCTCCTGAAAAAAGCAGATTTTGGATGGCAGGAACAACTTAAACAAACAAAACCTCCTAACGGATATGACCAAATTTAGCCTGTTGAATAAAACACTTTTTAAACGAGATGCAAGTCAAGAATTGCATCTTCCCCTTTTCAAAGCTAAGGAACTGGATTTCCACTGCACACACACTGGGTGCTGAGGACACAGTAACTCCCCCAGATCCAAAGTTCAGCTGATTTGTGCAAAGGCATCTGCAAGAGCCGAGGTTTGCCCAGCTCACCGTGGCACTGGCACCGCAGATCTTTTACAGCATCTTTAACCCAATTTTATTGGGCCATTAACAGGAAAATACAAACACATCTCCTTATTGACATTGAGATAATAAATAAAAGCCTCGTTAAGGCTGGGAGAAATAAGCATGTTCGTGAGGAATGC